GCCCGGCCCTCGCCGCCGCCGCTTCTGTCCGCCGGGCCCCGCAGAAGCAGCAGCAACCCCGGGGCAGCATCTCACGGGGGGCGCCCCACCCAGAAAGGCGGCCGAACCCCGGAGAGGCTGCGCTCCCTCAGCCCGAGCCCCAGCTCAGCGCAACAGACCCTTCATTCTCCAAGCCATCACTGATCACTGATAAGGACGTGGATCTTGGGGGGGCAAATATCGGTGCATTGGGACAACCTGTCCCGATCAATCAGGGCCCCCAGGTCACCCAGGGCGGCACGGCCCCGTACAGGGAAGCTCCTTCTCAAACCTGCAAGGACAGTACGTCGCGAGCCACTGCCTCCCACTGTACCCGCCACGGAGGCCCTTCCGCGATCCGCTGCCTGGAGATCTGGCCGTGACTGACCCAGCGCATGGGCTCCCGGGCTGTGTGACCGCCCCCCACCCCATACCCTGACCCCCTTCCATCCGCCTGCAGTATGCAAACTGTGAAGGATGGAAGGACCTTGTCTCCCATGCAGTGAAGCGTTCCCACAATTGGAAGCCTCTGGGAAGGTGAGGCAGGTTGGAGGGCATCCCAACCCACAGCTCCCCCACCCGCTCCAGGGCGGCTCCGCGTCCCCCAAAGGCGCCCTGAAATCGGAAGCCGCCAGGCCCCTCTGAGGGCTCCAACGAAGGCTCTGGCACCCTCAGAGGGGACTCTGGGAACGGCTGGAAGGAGAGGCCGGGGCTTCATTCCTTCCCCTTGACCGGCATTCCTGAGGCCGCAGGGGGCCGGCTGACACCCAGCTGGGGCACTGAATGCTGCCTGGACTCCTGGCCCCTCCGGTGACAGTTTAGAAATCACCCCGCCCCCCCAACACACACGCATTCCTCCCCACCACAGAAGACGGCCTTTGCCGAGGGGACGGGAAGAGGAATAGGCTGAGGTAGCCTGTTCTGTGGCATGTGTACTTACAGGTCCGGAGAGGTCCTCCTGCGAGGGCAGTCCCGGAAATACAAACAGGCCAGAGGCTCGGCAGGACAGGGACGTGGCTGGGCCCCCTACTGCCCGCCAGCCCCAAGACAGCAGCAAGGACAAGCGGGTGCTGCCTTTCCTGGCCCTAGGACAAGGGCCCCTGCCGCGGCGGCCTGGGGGCACTTCGCGCAGAGGCTTCCGATTCCAAGGAGGCCACCCCAGGCCCTTCACACCGGACCCAGAGAAAGCCTGTCCTTCCCCAGCAGCCAGCCCCCTGCGCTCATAAAACAGCGCTGCGCAGTTCCTGCTCGGTTTCCTCGTTCCAGCTACAAAAGTGCAGAGGAAGCAAGTATCTGTTTGTGTTTTACTAGGTAAATAAAGCCTTTTATCACGGCTGCAGCCTGAGACGAGAACAGGCCTCTCCGCGATCCCTGGCCGCGCCAGGGGCCTCCAACCACAACCAGGAGATCCTATGAGGCCAGTGTCTTCAGAGAGAGTGAGTCACGGGCTTTAAAAGCGGTATCCTCCCCCACAGCCAAGGTGGAAGGTACACGCTTAACACGGCAAGGGCGACTGCGCAGCCGGGGGACATGGGGCAGTCCGGAGATGTCTTCTCTGCTGTCACAGCGGGAGAGGGGGTGCCCACGGGGAGAGGCCAGGGGTGCCGCTCACCATCCGCACGCCAAGGATTACCCAGCCCCGCATTCAACAGGCTCAGGGTTCAAAGCCTGGCGTCCAACGGACGAGACAAGAGCCATCCCATATGGCAATGCAACCGATTTCACCCAGGAGCAGACGGCACTGCCTGGGCAGACGACAGGAACATCCGAGGTCACGACCTGGTCCTCAAGGTCCTTCTGAGGACCTGCCAGGACTGTGTGGCCTCAGGGCACATCTATAAGCTGGGCTACGCCACCTCTCGTCTGCAGGTGGGGGAAGGGAGCAGCCTGCAGGGCGCGCCTCCCCGTTCGGTTTTATTTTTAAGGTTTTATTTATTGACCTCTAGCAAAAGGGGAAGGGAGGGAAAAGAGGGAAAGAAACATTAACGTGCAAGTAAAACATCCATCGGTTGCGTCTCACGCACCGCCAACCAGGGCAGCTGGCCGACAACCCAGCAACGCGCCCCAACCAGGAACCAACCCGGGACCGGCGAGGCGAACCTTCTGTCTGCGGGATGACACACAACCTGCGGAGCCACACCAGTCAGGGTTGACGACAAACTTTTGTAAAGCAAAACTTCGTGAGCCCTGGTCGGCTGCCTCACTTGGTTGGAGCATCGTTCCATATACCAAAAGGTTTCGGGTTCCATTCCCAGTTGGGGCACATACCCACGTCACAGGTTCAATCCCAGTCGGGGCACGTGAGAGGCAACCGATCGATGTTTCCCTCTCACACCTCTCTCCCCCCCTCACCCCCCCACCCCCGGTCTCTCTCCCTTCCTCCCTGTAAAATCAATAAACATATCCTTGGGTGCCGGTTTTAAAAAAATGCGCAAAATCCGTGAGAAGAATTACTATCTAATGAGCCCTGAAGATTTTCCTGTAGCTATAGGGAAAGAGTCGAAGCTCGGATTAATCCAAATTCCGGAGGTGAAACCATTGTCCCCAGTCTTCATCACAGACAAAGTCCATTTGCTTTCTGGAACTGGTTACAAGCGGCCGCACGTTCCTTCATCCTCTTCGACTGACGTGAGTGTTACTTACCAGCGGCTGAACGGTCAGCAAGCATCCCTAATACACGACCCAGGAGAGAAGACAGGTATGAGAGAGCACGCTGGCGACCCCACGTGGGGGTTCGCGTGTGAGTGAGCACTGGGGTGAGCACCGGCAGGCACGCGCGGGAGCTCAGAGAGGAGCCCCACGCTGCTGCGAGTCCTCTCCATCCGAGGCAAGGAAGCCGCACACCTCCACGAGGCAGCTATAAAAAGCAGGCAGCCGGGCCCTGGCCGGGCAGCTCTGTTCGCTGGGTGCCGTCCCACAAAGCGAAGGGTCCCCGGTTCGACTCCCGGTCACGGTACATGCCTGGGCTGTGGGTTCAATCCCTGACCAGGGCTCATACAAAAGGCAACTGATCCATGTTTCTCTCTCACATCCATGTGTCCCCTCCCCTCCCCTCGCTCTAAAAATAAAGTCTTTAAAAGAAAAAGAACTTGGGGTACCTGTGCGAAGGAGAAGGTGCCTTGGGGTCCCTTTATCTAGTTTCTGGTCAACCAACCTTTTTTTTTTTTTTTTGAGAGAGAGAGAGAGAGAGAGAGAGAGAAACTCCAAGTTGTTGCTCCACGTATTTATGCATTCCTTGCTTGATTCTTGAACATGCCGTGACCGGGGATCGAACCTGCAACCTTGGTTTATGGGCACGACGCTGTAACCAAGGGAGCCACCCAGCCAGGGCTAGAACAGCTAAATTTTAAAGGGACTTCCATCTCTCTCACACCATGTAAGACCAAAAAGCCAGACTTCACCTGAAACGATGTTTTACAACTACTTGCATATGGTATAAAGGCACATCGGCAAAAGACACAGGGGTGGGGCCAAAGTAGGTTTCCAGTAGTGAGTGCACAAAACAGAATTTATTCTCGTATTAATTATGGTTATTTTGCACACCGAAAAACGGCAACCCTCCTTTTCCCGCATCCTGTAGGTTGAATCACATGTGCATCTTTTCTTCCCAGGAACCCCTGAAATGGTAAAGGTCTGAGTAGTTTACCCAGTACCTTTTCACCTTTCACCATCAGAAAGGCCGCGTAACACCTTTCTTAAAAGGCACAGGCCGTAGACGCTTTACCCCACCAGTAACCAGGAAAAGTGGTCCCGCGGGCAAAGCGTCCTGTGCCAGGCCTACACACCATGTCTCCACAGAGCCCGGCTCAAGATTAAGTCAGGCTCCACCTACCCAAGCCTCCCCTCACCGGCCCGAGTTCGGGAAGGAGAAACAGGAGAGAAAAGGCCGAGGAGAGAAGTGTGGTGTCTCCTTTCTTTTCTGAATGACAAAGCCACACGACTTCCCCAATTCATTCACCGGAGGGGTGGGTCAGCAGTCGCCAGATTTCTTCCTGCCCTGGCGACGCAGGAAAGCAGAGAAGACCGGTAGGTCACCTTCAAAGGCTTCCAGGAGCCAAGAATTTTTACATTGTAAAGGGACCTTTGTCCCTACCAATGACCCGGCCCAACCCTTCCCCAAGAAGCCGACCAATCCACACTTTTCCCCGAAGAAACCTGGACGATAGATGGGTTGGTGGCGTGTTTTTACAGACTGGTACAGGTTCGGCTGGACCATTTCGGGGGGCGGGGGGGGGGGGTTCTGTTTCAACACCAGGAAATTCAGTCCTAAAGGAGCGCCTCTGAGCCTCACGCCCCACGCTCGCCACACACACTCGCACTGAGACACATCAGGAATTCCTTCTCGTTGGAGCCCAACGGCACTTTGACAAAGGCGGCTGAAAACTTTCGGCACGTCCGCGCGGCTCTGCAGAGCGCCACGGAACTGGAAGCCGAAGTCAGTAAATATTGATGGGCTGATGGGAATCGAGACGCGGGGCGGGCAGCAGCGGCGGCCCTGCGCCTCCCGGGGAGCAGCGCACAGGTCCGAGGGGTGCAGAACGCAGGGGTTCCCAGAGGCCGACACGGCGGGGCGGCTGTGCCCACCCCTGGGCACGCGGGAGCGTCTCGGCCCGACCTCTGGACAGCCCCACAGGTGCGGGCCGCCGCCGCTGGCGAGACCCAGAGTGACAAGAGACCCTGCCGGGCCCCTTCCCGGAGGGGGAGGGGAGGGGACCCGGAACAGAAGCCATTTAAACTCTGCGAGGCTCCGGGAGCCAGCGGGGCTGGAAGCCGCCGCTGCGCGGCGGGAGTGGCGCCCGGACCACACACCTCCGCGAGTGCCGGAGCCCAGCTCGCCACCGGGGAGCCCAGCACACGCGCGCCCGGGGGCCGGGGGCCGGGGGCCGGGGGCGCGATCGTGCCGCTTCCTCCGGCGCCCCCACCCCCTCCGCGACCCCGCCCGCCTGCGGGCTGTCACCGTGCGGGTCCCGCGGTCGCCTTACCTTGGTGATGACCAGCGGCTCGCCGTGCTCGCGGCCGCCCTTCAGGGTGAAGCCCCACGGGGCGCCGCCGTTCAACTGCACCTCCACCAGGCGCCCGCCGTCGGCCGTCCGCGCCTCGGCCTCGGCCAGGCGCTCGGGCCGCGCGCGGGGCTCGGCGCCCTCCATGGCGCGGGACGCGCGGGCTGCGCGGCCCCTCAGCCCCCCGGGCCCACCCGGCCCGCGCCCATGCACTCGGGGAGCCCCGGCTGGCCGAGGGCGAAGAGGCTCCGGAGGCCCGCCCTGCCTCCGGCCACTGGCGAACTTGCGCTGCAACTTGAGAGGAAAGTGCCGGCCGGGCCGGGAGGCAGCCGGGAGGGCAGGCGGCGGGGAGGGCGGGCCCGGAGGGGGCGGGCCGGCGGCGGGGCGGGGCGGGGCGCGGGGCGGCGGGCCGGGGCGCGGGGGGCTCGCGCGGCCGGGCGGGCAGGGGGCGGGGCGCGCTCGGGCCCGGCGAGGTGCCCGCGCGGGGGGCGGGGCGGAGAGACGCTCCCGGGCGCGCGCTCGGGGCTCCCCAGGTACCCCGGGCGGGAAGGGGGCGCGCTCAGGACGCGCGCTGCTCGCCCGGGCCGGGGGGCGCGCGCTCGGCGGCGGCCGGGGCGGGGGGGCCGGGCCGTTGGCTGAGGCCCCGCCCGTCCCGCGCGGGCGCCGGTGTCCCGCGGAGACTCGGGGCGTGTCAGCCGCCTCCCGGGAGAGCGGGGCGCGGCAGGTGAGTCGGCGGAAGCGCCCGCGCGAGGCGGGACGGGCGGAGGCCGGAGCCCCCGGCGCCTCCATCTTGGAGCGCGCGGCCCGCCCTGCGCCGCCGCCTTTGTTGGCGCGGACCGCGGGCTGCGAGCGGCCGCGCAGGTGAGGCCGGAAGCGGGCGGGAGCCGCGCGCCGGTCCCGCGCGGACGCACCTGGCCCCAAGTTCAGGGCGCCGGCGCCGCGGGTCGCTGGCGCGCTCTGCGCGAGCCCACGCTGCCCCGGCCCTCGGGAAGGGGCGCCCCCCGCAGCCAGGACCCCGCGCTGGACCTGTCCGCAGGAGGGACGTCTGCCCGTCGTTCCGCAGACTCCCTTCTACAGCGCTCAACCCAGACAGGAATGGCCTCTTGCCGGCCTTTCTTATCGTTAGGTCCCAGACAGTGTTCCCCTTCGAACCCTGTTGTCACGTTCATGGAATTCTGTCACCAGGACTTGGTGACCCACGGCGGCATCCCCTACAAAGGGGAGGTGCTGGTCTGGCGTTACTGAATGTGTGTGAATGGGACGGGTGCCACCTCTTCCCGCTCCTGTTCAACTTCCCTAAAAAGTCCGGAATAAAGACACATCTGCCTCGGTATGTATTTTGCATGCTTTGCAAACAACAACTTTGTATTGTCGTTCGTAGCTGTGTAGCTGGACACCTGTTTCCTCCACGCAGCTCTGGCCGGGGACCTGGAGCAGGTGGTGGCGCCGGGAGCAGGAGGCAAGGACCGCACTGGACAGAGGGCGAGGTCCCCGAGCCCCTGCTCGGGCTCGTCCAGTGCAGACGCAGGACGAGGAGCCTGAACTGGGATCCCTCTTCAGCGGTCCGGGGACGCCCGTGCACGCCGTGGGCCGCCCTGCGCGTCCAGGCACGTCAAGCAAGGGTGCACGTTTCCTGAGCACGGGTGCCGGCTGAGCAGCGCTCCCTGCCCCGGGGACCTTCCCGCCTTCACGGTCCTGAACGCCTCTAGTGACGGGACTGAGGCGGGGTGGTTTTGTTTTCGTTTCTTTTTCCTTTTTAAACGGAGACTTCAGGAGCCTACGCCTCCCAGGCTCCATCTCTAGCGCCCCTTACCTGCGGTGGCCTCCCAGGAATGACTAAACGGCACAGAACTAAACGCACCCACAGAGCAGTGCATGTCCGGGCGGGGCCTGAATTCGCTCGGTGGGTTGGGTCATGGCGTCACTGTTAAGGTATCTGTGCTATATTTTTGCAAGATGTTACGAGTGGGAGAGGCAGGGTGCAGCCCGCAGAGATGGTCCAGGATGATGTCTTCCATCTGCGTGAGAATCTGTGATCGTCTCCAAATAAAAAACTTCCATTTCCAGGGTGGATGCCTGTGATAAGCCCCACAGTAAAGGACCACACACAGGCACCTCGAGGTTCCGGAAGCCCCCTTTTCCCAAAGCAGCCACCTGCCCCCCTCCACCCACCCCGACGGTGGTACTGACTTCAGTCTCAGTTCTCGCCCAGAGCTGCAATTCAGGCCACCGGATCCATGAAAGCAGAGACAGCCGATTTCATTGTCTCCATCCTCCGCAGCCAAAGTTGCCTTTCACCTTTTATGTTCATTGTGTAAACGGGATCAGGTGACCCACCTGGCGCGCCAAAGGGTAGTACTGTTTATTTCTTAAACTGAGGTGCAAATGTACATTCATCCTTAACATCATCTTGCTCAGGTTTGTTTGGTTTTTTTTTAATCCTCCCATGAGGCCTCCCTCCTCACTTCACAGCATTTAACTGCTTATAAGGCTGTCGTCTATGTATGAATAAGCATCCTGAAAGGGACTTGACCAAGCCCTGCGTGGCCTGTGGCAGGTAGATGCGCACCTGTCAGACCCACGCACATCTTCCACTGACATTTGGAATTCCATCGCTGACTGCAGAGCCCTGTGCGGCCATCACAGCCAGGATCCGACATCGTGTCCCTCCCGTCATCGCGAGACCCCCGTCAAACATCTCGTGGAAATCTGAGCAACGTCTTACGACTGAAAGGCATCCCCGCAACTGATCAATGTTGGCCCCTTTGGAGAGAGTTTCACACCACGTCAAACCAGCATGGACTTCTCGCGGTGACGGCTTTCTTTTCAAAGAACTCCCAAGCGAGCTGGCGTTGCTGAGAGCCGAGCGTTTGTCAGGGTCCAGCTCCCAGGTTCTCGGGGAAAGCCGGGGACCCCCCGGCTGTGTGGAACACGCACTCCTGGCATGTTCGGCTTTATTGCCCAGGGAACGGGGAGGCGGGTATGTAGTCCTCCGGACGGGCAGAGCAGCACCCGGCAGCCACGACTTGGGGGCATTGAAGAGCCTCCGCTGCGTGAGTGACACATGCGGCGTCTATCCTTGGACAGGCGGTCGGTGCAATGAAAGGGAGGTCTGCTGTCACTTCATCAGCAGCGAATGACGGAATCAGTGAAGAAAAGGCGCATTGAACCCGCCATCGGAAATGTCATCCATAGCTCATCCTCTTTAGGGAATAGAACACAAATTCATTTTCTAACAAAGAAAAACAATTTCTAAAATGCAGTGGAGGATGGAGCGCCAAAATTTTGCTCTCACCTTTCACACTGGTAGCGCCGAGCTTCCCAGCACACCTTTTATTGTGGTATTTTTTGGAAGAAGGCAAGTTTAGCCATTTCCTGGTTGACCCACCACGAGACCGAGTGAGGGTCCTTAGGAATTCAAACTCCCAGCTGTGGTGGCTGTTAAAGGGGCGCTGGCCAAAGGACCTGGCCCTTAGTCACCAGTGTTCATCATCTTGATTTCTAGTTGCTGTTTCTGTAAACGTTGGGACTTAACTTAGCGGCCGATCTTGGTCCCGCGATGAAAGCTGGAAGCCTCACCCCCTTCCCCTAGCCCCCGCCCATCTCCTGGCCTCCCCCACCTCCTAAGGGCCTGCTTGCTCCTGCACATTGTTTGTTGCAATATTTACAGGCCTTGCAGGGAGAGACTTCCTTCCGGGCAGGGCAGCGGGGGACAGGCCCCGGGGTCCCGGCTTGTGCCAGCACCGTTACTTTATTCGTGCACCCCATGTCTGGAGCTTGCATCCGAGGGCCCCACGCCTTTGACTGAGGAAGAAAGCAGCCACAGCCGCTAGGAAGTAGTAATCGTGTTCCCAGGGAAGCTGTGCGCCAAGCACATTACATAAACGGCCTCGGGTCCCCCGGGCCCACTTCCCCGGGGCCGCGTCACCCGCTGCCCCAGAGGGGTGAAACCGCGGGCCTGAGGCCGCCGAGCCCAGTCCCCTGAAGCACGTGTGGCCCTCCCCTGCCAGGACCCCATTATTGTCCATCCCTCCCTTTCTGTCCCCCAGTGGAGGGCAGTTTCCACGGAGCAAATGGGTGGACCTTGCTCTGTGAGAAGGTCACACACTGGGCCGCACGGGGAGGCTCCCTGGACCTGCACGCACACACTGCCGTGCAGGTGAGAGGGGCCGAAACCTACAGGTGGGGAAGCTTTGCTACCAAAACGGGTGCTCCTTCAGGTGTGTTGGAGCTCCAATTCTTCTGTCCCTAGAAATGCTGTCTAAAATGGGGTCTGTAACGGGCCAAGTTGCCTGCTGGGAACCAGAAGAGACTAAGTACACGGTGATTAAAGCATATTTTTTACTTGATGTTTTGAGAGAGAGAGAAACATCAATATATTGGTCCACATTTTTATGCATTCACTGGTGGTTTCTTTTATGTGCCCTGACTGGGGGTTGAACCCACAACCTTGGTGTATCTGGACGGCGCTCTAACCAACTGAGCTACCCAGCCAGGACTAAACATTTTTAATATAAATGTTTACCAATAGTGAATGAATTAATAAAAGGCAAAGTAAACCAACTTTCAAAGAATAATCAATACCTAATCCACTTTATGAAATATACACACACACACATATACATATATATATATAAAATACAACACCTATCTTTTCAAATCAGTACTTAAGAGGGGGTACCTAGCTGGAGCTACTCTTTTAAAATACATACAATAATACTAAAAAACTGTATATTGCAAAATACAGTTTTAGAAAGACATTGGCTATTTTCCAGGGTCTTTTTTGTTTGGGGTGGTCTTGTGGTTTGGTTTGGTTTGGTTTTTACAAAGTAGCCAATGGGCATGGATTTGTGGAGCATTTTTTAGGCCCCATCCTGGGAGAGGTCCGGCAGGAATGTGAAGGATGCAGGAAATATGGAACATTAACTGGAGCTGTGAAGAAAAAGCAACCAGTGGGCATGAAACAATTAGAGTGCAATTCACGGCACAAGGGCCTTCGCCTGCCAGGTTTCAGCAGGAGACAAAGCAAAGAGAAGGGAAGAAAAAACAGTCAAGAACACCAGAGGGGATTTTTTTTTTTTTTAATTTTTCATCTTCAATTGTGGAAATTGCAGAGGGACACAGAAATAAAACTCTTGTTTCTTCCC